CGCAGGGCGATTTTGCAAGCTACTGTATTCGTGAACTTGGCGATTCTCAAATATGACACGTGAGCTACGGCGGGGTATATTAGCGTTGAGCGCAGAAACCCCCCAATGGGGAAAAGACCAGTTCCGCACATTGGAGTTTGATATCAGTTGATCTGGGGAAATCGGCCACTGTCTTCTTTGTATAGATCGCGCGATTTCATCTTTATCCGATATTGAAGTTACCGTTTTCTTCGCCCCCTATTACCTCTCCGAAATTCTCGAGCGACACCCGCCATGGTTGCGCAATCGTTGGCCTCGCTATTACAGCGGGCGTCGATTGACGACCACGAGGAAGTCCTCCAGTCGTGCAATGCAGTCCTCGCCAAATCCAAATCCGATTTGCAAGCGCAGCACATGAAAGTCGTTGCTCTATTGAAACTCGACCGTTACGAAGAAGCTCTCAGGACATTCCAGGCCGGAGGCGATGCGCTGAAGCAGAGTGCAGGCTTGGAATACGCCTATGCATCATACAAGTGTGGGAAGCTCGAAGAAGCCACGGAAGCCTTGACTCGCACAGCTTCTGGGCGTGGTGCTAGTCACCTCGAGGCACAAGTGGTATGGTGCCCCATCTGTCCTTCTGCTGATTTGAGGACCAATGTTGATTTGTCTTGTCGTAACAGCGCTATCGTGCCGAGAACTTTCGACGGGCAGCTGAGCTTTACGAACAACTCTCCAAAGACATGACATCTTCCGCTCACGAGGTTAACGACCTGAGCATCAATTCCTGGGCTACCGATGCTCAGCTTCAATGGAAAGGGGAGACGGAATTCGTGCGCCACGACCGATTGTCGAGGGAGGATTTGGAATCATTCGAAACAACCTACAACGCAGCTTGCTTGAACATTGCAAAGGGGGCATTCAAGCAGAGCGAGGTCTTGCTCAACCGAGCTCAAAGTCAGCATGCCGCCGTGTTGCCTAAGACTAGGAATCAGACTGACCGTTTTGCATAGATATCTGCCGGACATCAGAGGACCTTTCACCTGAAGACAAGGCCGCCGAGCTGCTGCCAATCGCAGTTCAGCAACTATATGTCCTGATTCAACTTGGAAAGTTGGAAGAGGCCGAGGCAGTTCTCAAAGATATCTCCGTGGAAAAGTACGTTGAATCATGCTAGCTCGAAACTCATCACTTACATCCTTTCCTAGCATCCCTGAGTTATCTACCAAAAAGATTGCCCGTAACAACATCGTCCTCGCTTGTCCGACTGACGTCAATCCCTACATCCTATACAAGGCCCTTCACGACACCCCAGATGCCACCAATAACGATCGGCTATTCGAATTCCAGGACCGTGACATGGTCGGCAACCAACACGCCGCGGACCTCCTTGTACAAAAATACGATGGCATAATCCGGTCTACAGCTAAGGCACAGTCAAAACGCCCAAGCCCATCCACCGACGCCATCACCAACCTCCTCTCTGTATTCAACGCCGCAGCACGTGCTGAAGGCGAAACCGGCCCTAAAGCCCTTAAACAGATCGTCCCATTGCTAGAACGACGGCCCACAGACATCGGCCTTCTTCTGACAGTGGTACAGCTCTATGTCAGCGTCGGTAACACAACCTCTGCTATCACAGCCATGGAGCGAACCCTCCGCAGTCTTGAGGGCTCAAACGAATCCGTCCGCTTCAACCCGGGCCTCCTCAGCGTCCTCGTCTCCCTATACCAGCGCGAAGGTCGCATGGCCCAGATCCGCACCACCCTCGCACAAGCCGCCTCCTATTGGCGCACGAAGCCCGAGCCCCCCGTGTCCCTCCTCCGCGCAGCAGCCGCCTCCCTCCTGCACTCTGAAGACCGTGCCGACTTAGCTACAGCAGGTGATCTATTCCGTGGTCTGCACCAGCAAGACCCCAACGACCGCATCGCCATCGCTGGCTATGTTGCCTCACAAGCAACCCTGGACTATGCGCAGATCGAGTCCGAACTCGACCGCCTGCCGGCAGTCAGCGACCTGATCGCCGATATCGACGTCTCAGCTCTAGAATCCGCTGGCATCGCTCCCTCCGCCTCCTCGGTTGCAGCAGCCGCTGCTGCTTTCGCTGGTGCCCGTAAGCGCACCGCGGCTAGCGCTGGTGACCGCGCCAACAAGCGTGTCCGCAAGTCCCGTCTGCCCAAAGACTTCGATCCCGCCAAGAAGCCAGACCCTGAGCGCTGGCTGCCTGTGCGTGACCGCTCTTCTTACAGACCCAAGGGTAAGAAGGGTAAGCAGCGTGCTGCGGCACTGACGCAGGGTGGTCCTGTCAATGAGAAAGCCGAAGAGTCTCCCGCTCAGCAGCAACAAAAGTCCGGTGGTGGCTCTAATGCTAAGAAGAATAAGAAGAAGGGCAAGCGATAGTGTAATTTCAGACAGATAGAGATCATAGCTTGAATGCTACCTACGATACATGGAACTCAGGTGTGTATCTCGTAATTCATATGGAAGGGCACACCAAACCCGAAACCGCGAGTAAATATATTCCCACCACCAGCTTTTTTAACTCCGATGACTCCGATTCGCCCCATAACCAGATGTAAATAACCCTCGTAAAACTAGCTTAGGCACTAGCCACCCACCCCCTTGAGAAAACACCGAATGCCCCTCTACCACTTTCAAACCGCCTTTTAAGAGATCATCGCTCAACCCAACGGAGTCCGAATGGTACCGCACTGGCGGTTGTAGTGGTCAAAGATCATAAGCAGCAGTCGCAGGTCCATGACAGCGTCGTCAGCAGTTGTCTTCGCCGCCGACGCCCCACCAACCAGATAAGAATGCAGCGCCAAGAATTCACGCTCATACGCCTCGTCACAGGTACTAACAGTCTCCGTCCGCTTCACACGAGGACGAGGGACAGCATTCTCAGTCACGTTGATCTGATTGGCATTGACATTATCCGACTCCACCGTCCCATCCGCTTCCTCAACAACAACCCGAACATAAGTACCAGTACTGATCTTCTCACCTGGACGCGGGAAGTCATACTCTACGCTGAGAGTCTTGTGCGCGCCGTAGACAGTCAAATGAGCATCACAGCGGGGCAAGGCATCCACCCCAGCCTCATAGACAAGTATGAACGGGTGACCGTCATTCTCAGCGGAATTCGTATAGTGAAAAATGGCCGAGTAGAACGGGTCCGTGATAGCGACGTTAGAAACAGCATCCGGGAATCCCAACGACTCACGCATAACCGATAGATCATGACAACCCAGCATGCCGAGGTAGCGACAGAAAGCGACTCTGTCCCGGGTGAGATCCTCTTCCGACCCGAAGACGTCTTCCAGCAACGCGCGGAACTGCTCCGGGTTATTGTTGCTCTTCATCGCCGGCGCGATGTCTTTCGACGCCGGCGCGACGATGTGGTTCATTGGGCCGGCGATGTGTCGGCAGCGCGCGTAGTACACGCGGCCTAGCGCGGTGAGTTCTTTTTTGAAGACTTCCGTGAAGCACGGGGCGTAGCGGCGCGCGCAGCCGACGAATATCTTTGGGCCGTCTGTTTCGTTGGTGCCCTCGAGGGATCGGAAGGCTTTGCCTTTTTTGACTGCTTCGCGGATCCGGCGCAGGCTTGAGATGCTCATTGTGAGGGGGACTTCGACCATGACGTCTTTGCCGGCTTCGAGGGCTATCACGGTATATTGCTCGTGGTACTCCATTGGGAGGAGGTTGAGGATGACGTCCACTTCTTTATGGCGCAGGACATCTTCGACGACTGTTGTGCTGTGGGTTATATCGAAGCGGGATTGGCATTGGTTTGCGATCTCGGCGTTGGGATCGTAGATGGCTGTGAGGGTGTAGTGTGTTTTCAGGGAACGGAGGACCGGGAGGTAGGTGGCTTGGACGGCGTTCGTGGCGCCTAGGATTCCTAGGCGGAGGACAGGAGTGGGCATGTTAGAGTAAGGGTAGGAAGCTGCGGATTGGATGGGTGCGAAGGGGAGAAAGCAGAGAGATGGTCGGGCCTTTTTTTTTTGTAGAGTGTCTGAGCTGAAGGACCGAAAAGATGAATGATATCTCAGGTAGCCCGGGACTAAAGGGGGTTGAGAATATGAAAGTGAGCAGAGCGCAAAAAATTAGAGCAAGAGCGATGCTTCGTTGATACGATCTTGGAAAGATCAAACAAAGAAAAGAGGATGTCCCTGTGAGCTGTGAGCTGTGAGCTGTGTAGCATCCTTTTCAAGGGCAGGACATCCCTGGAGCATGCCAACTTTGTGACATCATTGTCCAGTGATCAAAATTCATAATTTGGTCAGAGTTTTACCCCGGATTCTATCCATGGTCAGTAAGGTCTGACTCTGATGATGCACTTAATATACATAGACAGTCGCAGACCTTCGATCCTATCTTGTTAAATATGGTTCTATGTGTACAACGAGTGTTGGAAATGAACGGCATCATAGCGTATAGTGAAGGGTTATACTCCCGCGGACTTATCTGCTTAGAATAACATACTTTAATTACCATTACCTGTTGGCCTTTTCGATCTCTATAAAAATATCCACGGATCTAAGAGTATAAGAATTATCCACCCGGTAAAGCTTCGAGAAAAAGTGGAGATGTGGGTCGCAGTAAACATAACTACCAAAGAACTACGGAGTAGTGCCTCGTGTTTTCAGTTATACAATGATCGGTTGGATTTCTTGAACATAATGTGCATTACATTCTAAATTCCCGATTCTTTTTCCACTCCCGTACGCATTCGAATTTTCACAGAGTATCTGATATTTAGAGGGCCGACTCCAAGCCTATGGAGGATCCTTAGATAGAATTCTCTTCATGGCTGAGGGGAATCGCCTTAGAAACTGGCCATATTACCTCCCACTTTGGACGTCACATCACACGGATGGCGTGTTAGACGTGGATGTGGGGTACTCGGCTGGCTTGCCTCGCCTCGCTTGGGGCAACCAGACCTGTGGGGTCTCTTTGGAGTTTCATCCTTCATCCGTCCCACAGGCCTCTGCAGCCCAATTGTTTCCGATCCGCCCTCTTCGTCATCGGCACCTGGCTGATAACAAGCACCTGTGGGCGATACTGGACGCTTTGGTTTGTCCATCTTTGAATTTGCTCATCAGATTACCCACGCTACCCATGTTGAGTGTATGATGCCAGGGCTGAAGAGGGCGGGGAAACTCGACTTCCTCGAGATCCACAACCATAACTTTGCTTTGTTCGGGAATAGTATCAGCACAAAACAGAAAATTATCTGGCTTCGCGTCCCAGTATATTGCTTTGTGCTCATCGAAGGCGCCTAGTGCTCTCTCAAGGTGCATCTTCAGCGCCTCATGCTGGACGCCGAAGTTTCCTCGAGCGAGATCGTGTAGGGTGATCCCCTCAACCTCCGAAATTACAAGCGCATCACGGCCATTGAAGGAGCCTTGACCGAAGAAGATTGGAATAATAATCGTTCCTTGGAGGTTTTTCAACTTTCCGTATGCTTGTATCTCTTGTTGAAACTCGTCCTCCCATCCGATCTTCTGCTGCTTGACTAGAACTGTCGATGTTGATGGAAGATTGTAGCATAATGGAGAGGAGAGTGTCAACGAAACACCGTGCGCCGTGGATCTAAACGCTCGGCCTCTGTCACATTGATAGGCAGGTCGTTTAGATAGAGCGTTTAACACTACGTCAGCTCATCCAATTTGAAGATACCTGATTTTGATCACTGAAATTGCAGGGTTCCATATTTCGAAGCAAAAAGAGACAAGGGTTGGATTGTAGAACTTGTGTGAAATAGCCCAGAAACAAGTTCAAGGGAGCTTTGAATGCTCCAGGGCAGGGGTAGGTACCTAGGTAACGAAGGTCGGTGCATATGACCAATCAAACCACTCGAGCGGCTGTTTCTTATAACAACAAAATCAGCTGACTCCGCCATATTCCAGGTAATATAATACCCACTCTTGCATTTAATAGTTGGGATTAAAGAAAGGGCGGGCGTACCGAATGAGCATTCATTGAATAGTGCATCATTTGTGTCGTAAACAGACTGTCATAACTAACAAATCGCCTATGCGCAGCAGCAGAAGCACTATAAGCGGTCGGCAAAGACGGATACAATTCTATAGAAATTCCGTGTAGGTCTGCCGCTATTCACAGTTCTTGGATTTGTGCGGGGTTGCCAGTATAACGATTGGTCAAATCTAGATAGGTCTGCTGGTATTACGACGGCTCATCTACCGATTGATTGCCATAGTACGCTTCATCTAGCAATAAAGATACCAAAAATGTATAGTATGGCATTTCTCTTGATCTGACACCCATGTTAGAGGCAGACACGTTCGGCCGGGTCTACTAGATCCTCCCGCCACTCGTAAACCCTTTCCCTCATAGCCACAGCCTGGATATGTAGCAAGATCTTACTATGTATTCGTTACCATACAACAAACTGGTAGGTCCCATTTGGGTCTTATAATCACTCTGGATTTGGTGCGATGGTCTCTCAACTCTCTATATTTTCTTTGTCTGGCAGGGGGGTTAAGTCGAAGTGCGGGCGTTGACAACCAATGCTTCGCCATACAAACTCACATCATAGCCATTCTCTTCCAAGTATGCTTTGAACTTGGCATCCTCTGTCTCTAGCTCTCGAGACATATCTGGGATGAGGAACCAGGAAAGAATACCACCCACCATTGTAAAGGATGCACCAATTAGGAAAACCGCTTGCTGGCCTTTGGCGGTGGTATCGAAGGAGTTCTGAATTGGGGTGAAGACTTCCGTCCCAATTGATGCCCCGGCTTTGCCAACCGCAGCTGCAAACCCGAGGAAATGACCGCGCAGGGGTGTTGGGAATGACTCCGAAGCACAGAGGAACGTCGACACTCCAGGGCCAATCTCTCCGAGTGCTTGAAAAATGCCGTACATGACTATAAAAAGCGGGAACACACTCTGAATAGGATGGAGGGCAGCTCCCAGAATGAAACCCCATATACCCCAGATCATGAAACCGAGGGTCATGTTCTGTTTGCGGCCGATTCGATCCATTAGGATACCACCAAGCAAACATCCTGGGAGATAGAAACAGTTGATAACGGTCTGGAAATTATTTTGTCAGTTTAACCGACTAAAACATGGTGGTATGATGACTATGATGACCTACCCCGTATCCAATATTCTGAACTGTGGTGTTGTTGGGGTTCAGCTGCTCAATGATGGTGGACGAGAACAGGCCAAATGGATATGTGACAAAGTCGTAGCAGAACCAAGCCATGGCTACAAACATCAATGTTAGCCAAAGCCACTGCACAATTCAACAAAACTGAACGACCTACATGTTCCAAGCATGGGCTTCCAATAGCGGCGTAGTACCAACCCGTAGGGGTACCGCGATTTGATAGCATGCTTTTGGTATTGAGTAGAGTTGACCATCCGAACGCGGAAGAAACAGATTGATATTGGCAACTGATACGAATGTCAGAGCCATTGATTCGTATTAGCTCTTTATAAGGTAAAAAAACCTACCACAATGCCCAGGCCGAATGTAATGCGCCAGACTCCTTCAGAATCTTGTTGACTGTAACAAGCGAGAACAATGAGGGCAATCAAGCCAGCTGCAACAAATCCCTATTGTAAAGTTAGCAAGATTCTCGTCGACGTCGTGCTAGTACTAACCAGATCTATGGCAAAATCGGTGGTGAGTGCGACCAAAAAGCCACGTCGTTTTCGGAGGTCGACTGTCTCATCGGCAGCCTCAGTGGCACTGGTGGCACAAACAGGATATTCTCCTCCGGCGCCAAACCCTGCAATGCCTCGAGCAACAATCATCATCCAAAACATTCTAATTGCGGTGTCAGTGATGGGTTTTAATCAAAAGGCTGAAGTGTTTGAAGAAGATACCCTAGTTGGGATTTCCCATGAGAGGCAGTTGCCAGCACCACTCCTAGAATAAGAAACACCGTCGCGGCTACGATACCGGTCCGACGACCAATGCGATCAATCAGAACACCAAAGAAAAGCATGCCGAATATCTCACCGATGAGATAAGAGTTCGAAAGGCGGGACTTTATAGTTGAGGACATTCCATCCATGTAGCTGGACTCGTCAGTAAATTTGGCCAGAATTGTTCTGGAAACAGGAATACTCACAGGACTGAGAATAAAGGCTCCATATAGCCAACTACCACGCGGTTAGTACAGGGAGAAATGCATGACCTTTGGAGATATAGATCGACACTCAACACGCACTAATTTGAGCGTTGTATCCATCACTGAACAAGGCCAACCCGGAAACCACTACATTGAGCACACCGGAGCGTTTCTTCTCAGGTTCCCGTTGCTCAATATCCCAGTCATTTTGCGAGACTTGCTCCTTGGGGTCTTCCACCTTCATGACAGAGTCACTTGGAGATGCAGCCATATTGACAAGGCACTGAGCAAAATACCAATTGCTATATGTTATCAATATCAATGGGAATATATTTATATCTATACAAGCTATATTTGATGGCTCTAGTAATAAATTACTTCCAAAAAGAGAACCAATGACAGCGTGGAATAGAGGCACGATAACGTCGGTGGGAAGTGCGAGATGTACATAGGTACCTATACGTACCGGATTTTCCCTGGCGGGTGGGGCTTTCCTATTTGAGCTGCCGCCGCTTTTATAAGGGTGCTCAGACTCAGGCTCACTGAGTAGATGTCAGCACGGGCTTATAGGCTTATATTAGTGATCATGCTCAGATTAGTCACGTGCAGAATGACTGATGCTTAGTGAGTGCTCATTGGATGCTCTCTGGTTACTCAGTGATGCTTAGTGCCAAATAGTGAGCAACACTGATACACTTAGCCCGCCGTAGACTATACCTAGAAGGGATTAGCCCTTATAGGGTCGTTTATACTATAATAGTTAGTTTTTGATAGCATTGCTACTATCCTTATTTTTTGGAGCACTATATCTCACTAAGAAAATACGTTATGACTAAGTGTTACGCACTGCAACTGGTCACAGTTAGTGTTAGAGGGTCACGGGTTATACTTGCCTGAATCCTCAATCCTCCAACGTCAACGATCTGTCTCACAACCGTACTATTGCCAATAGGCCTTACTACAGACTAGGTCCTTTTGAGGGTATCGAGGAACGATTCCAGGTAGAGCGCTCAATTGATCTATACCGACGTATTAGTCAATTGACGAGTGTTGCCAAACACAGGCATAGGGTTCGTGCAACAGAAGACCTCGGTTGTTAGAAACTATCTTCAACTTCTGCATCCACCTCGCTATTAGGATCACACAAGAAGTAATAAAGCGTGCTAGGATCATTATATAGAACACGGAGGAGGACACGGGCAATCCCGTTAGTCACGTAGGAGTACTCGAGCCCTTCCTAAATCATCATATAGTACTCCTAGACAACAGCGGAGCAGACAAGGCGCTCTATATTGTACCTCAACTTCGCTTCCTTATTCGTAGGTATTTTATTCGATTTGACCATATCCTTCCATAAGTCCATTAGTCGAAGCCCTATCTGAAGGGTTGCGACGGGAAGCTTACGACGTGGCTTAGACTCGACAGTCATGAGGAGAGTGGTAGTGTTACCGTCTGACTATATCATCAGTTTTGAGCAGGCGATAGAAAAGTGGACGGGTAGAATGGAGCTAGGCCTTGACAAGTGCAGCTGCACCTCGAGAAATTTGGTGCAATTGCTCGGTGCTGTGGGGTGCAGCGGTACCTTGAGAAATTTGGTGCAATTGCCCGGTGCAGCGAACAATGGTGCAGTTGCACCTCTTGGCGGTGTAACCAGGTGCTGCCAAGGCCAGATTTTGCCAAGAAATTACCCCATTAGGCTTAATACCGCCGATCTGGTAACTAACAAGGCCGTAATTTACATAAATTACATATATAAGTCACGGGATAAGCCGAAT